CGAACCGCAGGGAGCTAGGGATCTGCCGTCCTCGAGGAAACAGTGCGCTGACTATTCCCTCCAGTGCCTCTGGATCTGTTGGGGCTTTGCTGCCCGCGTTCAGCCTCTTCACCACCATCCTGTACGCGCCTCCCCAGGGGTCCTCTTCGGCGGCATCACACAGCTTAAGGAAGCATTCCCTCTTGCTGTTCCTTATGGCGGTCTTCAGATCCTTCCTCGCCGCTTTGTAGGTCTCGCTGCATCGGGCCAAGCGCGGTGTGCCTCTGGCTCGCTGGAGCAGCCTTCTGGCCCGGTGGCAGGTTCTGCGGAGAACCGCAATCGCTTCGCTCCACCAGAAAACTGGATCCTTGTGCTTCCGGAACGTCCCTCTCGGTAGCATGCTCTGATCGCAGGCGCCTTCAAGTGCGTCCGCCATATCGTTGGCTCCGTCTGCATCGTTTGCAGAGTAGCTCTCAAGGGCGCCTGCGAAGGCTTGGGCCCTCAGCGTGTTCTGGCATTCTGTGTTCTGTTCCCATGCCGGAACGGGGTACCTCTCGATCGGGCAAGGGTGCCCAGGGTGCATAGTATGGCCTCGTGGTCGCTGGCTGTGTATACGTCGCTGATCCTCCATCGGGCGTGCCGGGCCAGCGTGCTGCTGGCATAGGTGAGATCGATGATCGACCCTACACCTGCCCTGCTGAAAGTGTGTTGGGACCCTTCGTTCAGAAGGACGACGTCCTGAGAGGCAAAAGCCTCCAACACCGTGCGGCCTCTGGCGTTTGTACGGGAGGACCCCCATTCCAGGGCCCAGGCGTTGAAGTCGCCTCCGACTACGACGTTGTTCCGTCCTCGCAGATCGCAGCTCAGCTCGTCCATAATGCGGCTGAAAGTCTCCAGCGAGAGGCTGGGTGCCAGGTAGCAGCTGTAGAACCATATGCCGCCAACATACCCTCGGACGAACCCGTCTGCCGACTTGGTGTCGCGCAATTGTGGCGCGTCGACGCCACAGAGCCACAGGGCCGCTTTGCCAGTAAGGTCCGTGGCCCAATCGCTGCTGCTGCCCACCTTATGTGGTTCGCTGAGGAGTGCCACCTCAGAGCCAAGCTCGCGCACCGTCTGCGTCAGGATATCCTGTGCGACCCTGCCGTGATTCAAGTTGAGTTGAATCAACTGCATGTCGTCCTGGTTTTGCCGACCCCGCTTCGCGTCACTGGGCAGTTTTTAGTGCCTGCCTGGTGCGTGACTTCCTTCTTTCCAGCTGCTGAGCAGATGAAGCACGCAGGCTCTTTTTTGCATTCGGCAACTTTGTGCCCTTTCTCACCGCATTTGATGCAGGAGCCACTCCTGTCCACTGTACTCTTGCAGTTCCGTGCGATATGCCCGGGTTTCAGGCATCGGTAGCACCTTGGGAGTCCATCTCTTTCCCGGATCCTACATATGGTCCAGCCGATCCTCACCTTGCCGCCTTTCAGGACCGCTTGGCCCAGGGAGAAGGGCAAGCTGACCACCGCCAGCTGGGACTCCGCGTATCCGCGGAGCAGACTGCGGACTCTTACTCGACCCTCGTCAATGTTGAATTGGCGAGTAAGAGCGGCACAGATCTCCTGCTCCGTCGCGAGGGAGTCGATGTCCCGTATCTCCAATATGACAACCTCGAGTCTTCCGTCATTGCGCGCACAGACGCTCCATCGCCGAGGACACGTGCGATGCTGGCTTTCATGCCCTCAGCACTCTCCACGCTGTCTTTTGCCACCTCAAGCAGAAGGTTGCCGTTTATGGTGCGGCGTACCTTGGAGACGCAGTTTCCCAGGTCGGAAAGCTGGTTGTCGTGTCGTCTGGTGACCATTGCCAGAACCTCGCTGTACGACTTCCCGGAGGCCTGAACTATGACCGCGTCTGGGTGAGCGCGGCGTGCTGCTCTCTGCCTCTTGGCCACCACGCTCCATTCGCTGTCCGGGATTCCGGGGCTCTTGGGCTGCCTCATGGCGCTGGTCGTCGCCACGTCTCCGTGTGGCCGCAACGGGGCCTTTTTAAGGGTCCTCTTGGTTGCGATAGCTCCTTTTCGCTGCCTTGGGCGCGTAGGTGGGGTTCCCGGCTCCACCATTGGACCTTCGGCCACGGATGGCTGGCTATATCTACGCCACGGTTCGGTTTGCGCTGCGGCATCTTTCCTCCATACGGTCGTTGTCTGCTGCTCCTTGTTTGCGCTCCGCGTGCTCTGTGAGCATTTCGGGCACAGGCCTTGGGCATCGGAGCCTTCCTGCAGCGCGCTTCTACCCGCTGCAGCCTGGCTCGATTCGATGATGTTCGAGTGCAGCTCCTTCTGCTCTGTGAGAGACCACGTGTCTTCGTGGTGTTTTTCTGTTTTGTCAGTGACGAGAGGAAAAAGTGTTGACCGTTGTTTGCGAGCTATGCTCAAAAGATAAAAACCGGAGGCTCTCAATTTTTGTTTACCATTGCAATGGCAATGCATTGATAGTACTCTCAAAATACAAAAAAAAAATGATTAGTGGTGAAGTCTACAAAATTTAAAATTTTTTGATTTATTTAACATTTAAAATTTTATTTTGCTTCCGAAAGTTGTGTGAGTGACCGCGGAAATACCCATATGTACATATTTGTTTCTCTTTCGTTTTTTTTTTGTGTACATATACATATTTACATCCAAGCAAATTTACTGGTCAGAGCACTTGTAAATGGAAAAAATTTAGGGGATCTACCGTGTAAAATAATAATTAGGTGTATTAACATTTTGTCCATATTTGATATTACTTTTTTAATATGGTTGGGAATTCCAATCCGCATCTAACCTCCCCAAAGATCGACTAGGTCAGATGGCACTGATTCCTATTGCCCAAGTCGTCGTTTCACGATTGACCATACATTTTTAATCGTATTGATACTAATAGTGGCTGTTCAATACGTAATATTGCTATCAAAAAAAACAAAAACTTTGCATTAGTCAATCGGTGGTGATCAGAGTGCAGAAATACTGTCCCCGAACACCAAGTCCAAGGCTGTCCTAACGGTTAACGGTTAAAAGAAAACTGATTTAAAACGAGGAGAACATTGTGAGTTGCTGCGGAGACCGTTGCGGACCATTTATACCCGATACATAGTCAGTATGGCTACATTAAACGACAAAGAGTGCGCGCGAGAGAGACAGAAAATCAGTCAGAGCGTGTCGACAGGCGCTGCGTAGCCACTGCAAATTGATTTGTTACTTTTGGCTATAATAATATGGCCGTTCAACATGCATACTAAATAGAAAATGAGATAATTGAAACTGTTGGGTGTACCCTAACGATTCGATTTGAAAAATTCTGCAGATAACCTCAGTTTATCCTTCAAACTATGCCAAAATATATCAGCCTATCTCCTCAAACCGTCAATCTGTAATTAATCTTTCTTGGCAATTAAGGCTTAACTGATCTATAGATAATTCCCAATAAGCAATAATAATTCGTATTTAATCTAGAAATCAATATTTCAATTAACAACCCGTCATTGACTTTAGATTACGGTCGAAGTCTGGAGTGTTATCTTCCAACGAATTTCCTTCTGTTGAATGGTTATTATCAATAAATACGATCCAAGTTTAAATTCCTGGCAATTTGGGTGATCATGCAAGCCAATTTTTGACATTATAATAGGGTTTCATAAGGCCGTGTCATAAAGCCCACGATATGAAACAAATTTTGTCAAATACCGTCTGTTTTTTTCGGATAAAAAACTGAATATGCAGTTCCTGCTTTTCTTTTAAAGTATTTTTTTTGCTCACATTGGACATTTATATTATTACTTAATTTTAGCTTTTTTATTAATTCTTGGGGAGAGGAATTGTTATGATTGCACTCGTGACTCATTTGAGTGCTCACGACAGTATTGGACAAGGCCACGGATACACTACAGTATTTTATCACTAACATAACAGTATATAGATGTGCCAGTTCATACAACGTTGTGAGTTGCTGGTAACGCCGCAACTCTACATTTATACCCGATACTTAGTCAGTATGGCTCTCCTCCGGCAGACGCCGCTAATATTAAACGACACGACAAAGAGTGCGTGCGAGAGAGACAGAAAATCAGTCTGAGCGTGACGTCGGGCGCTGCGTAGCCACTGCAAATTGATACAAAATATCTGGATCTGGATACAAAATTTCGTTGCTCTAGCTCTTAAAGTCTTTGAGCACTAGGCGTAATAGGGACGGACAGACAGACAGGGCTAAATCGACTCGGCTATTGATGCTGATCAAGAATATATATACTTTATGGGGTCGGAAACGATTCCTTCTGGACGTTACACACATCCACTTTTACCACAAATCTAATATACCCCAATACTCATTTTGGGTATCGGGTATAGAAATCGTTGCCCAAAGTGCCTTATATTAAAAGTTATCCGCAACTGAACATGAAAATGTAGTTTTCTAAGTGTACGCAGAGATATGCAAGCAAGTGTACATGTGACACGCGCACTGTATCTGTCCTCTTCTAACATAACGGTGCTGTGCATTTCCCTATCTTGATTTTCTGTATCGTGGGTCTGTAGTACTAACGAACCACTGCTGCTTCACGGCATATGTACTTTAACCGTTTCGAGCGTCCCGACGCATGCTGACACCACTGTGAACCTAAGGTAATGGCTAAACACGTTATGTTTAGCTGGTCTTTCTTCGAATGCTTGCGATCACCACTTCTTGAGATGACCCCAGAGACTCGAACATGGAAAGATGTTGGCGGACGACATCAGATAGAACGGAGTCGCAGGAGCCGATCTAACCATCAACTTACAGAAATTCACCAACACCCCATAACAGTAAAAAATTCTTTTAGTTAATATGGTTCCCCAGGTACAATAAATTTCATGAAAATCGTACCATGGGTTAATATAACTGTAAGTTTAGGCTACAAGGTTTTGAGGGCCGACTGAAGTTGCATTTATTAGTTTTTCAGAATTGAAAAGATTATTAATACAAAATGTAACATACTCAAAATGTCAATGCTATAATGCTTACTTTATCAGATGGTATGGTTCGGTGCATCTTCTGTGAAGTCAACGGTGCTATTTTTCCTGTGGCGTTGGTGCAATGACGTGAGGTAGCCTCTAAGGTACCTAGAATAGCCACAGATGCTCCAGTCAACGATGGCGTCACTTCTGACGAAGTCATGGCTACCGGTAGCGAAATATTTGCGAGCTGTTGGTTTGGCTTTACTTGATGCCGCAACGATGATTCTTTTTGCTCTAAAGAGTACGATTTGCGCTGATGCACTGCTGCTATTGTGGCTGCCACATTTGTTGAGGTTGAGGATGATGAGGACTGCAAAAGCAGTTGCGGTGGAGCAATCACAGCAGTTCTCTCATCTACTGATGGAGAGATTGCCGACCCAGCGGCTCCTAATGAAGTTGAAGAAGACACGCTTAAAGATACGGAAAAAGAACGTTTCACATATTGCGATTGCACGTTTTGTTCACTGATGACTATTGCCGTTTTACTCTGAAGATTTTGTGTTGTGGGTGTTTCAACCGATGAGGTTGCCGACATGGCGATAAGTTAAAATGATTTCATTGACACGGCGCAACGACGAGCTAAACACATAAATTATGTTTTATTAAAGAACAGCATTGTTGACGAACATCTAGAAATATATTTAAATAAGTACGTGCACGACTTGATATGGGAAACTATGCTAATGGCTGTCTTTAAAGACTAAGTATCAAATGGCATTCGATTTCGAAAAATTTCACAATTTGATATTATTAACCAATTTTTTTATGTCGGATTAACATATTTAATACATTTTGATTTATTTTTTTGTTTATAAGAGTACAAAGATTATAGACAATTGGGTATTATCAATAAAATATACGTACAAGTCGACAACTGTCGACAACAATTTAAATTTATGGTATTTATGTTTGTGACACAAATCTACATTTATTTGCACATACATATACGGTTAAAACCATATTTTATAGATGTACATATGTACATAGTGCTATATTATAATCATAAATTGATAGACTTTGTTTTAAATAGATGCTGTGCTTTTACATTATTAAATCTTATTTTATTTATATACTTTTTATAATTTAAACTGTATGCACATGTACATAAATTTATATCAACATATATGTACATATATTCTATACATTTAGTTAGTGATGACTCGCGACTGCACTATAAATAAACAAAAACAAGGGTGTTGACATTGGTTAGCACTATTTATTTGTATTTCGTTAGTTGTTTCACTTCTTATCCACAAACACATTAAAGTTATCATCATATCTTTGGCATGACCAAATAATTTATTTTCCGATTAATCACAAAGATACTGTGCACACATATTAAGATTTGTAAATAGATATACATGCTGTGATCCCAGAAAATCGATGGAACTATCGATAGTGCGAATTTGATTGACATTGCAGACTGATAGACTATTCACACTGATGAACATCCACCAACCATCATCCATTTCGGGGATGGTCCGTGGCTCTGCACACTGAGCCCATCCCGGGGGAATGGTGGGATTTTTTGACAGATGTGAAACTCCAATTCACACTGGAACTGATGGAGCTGATGACAATAACAAGTACTTTAAATTTGCGCGGAAGATTTATTAAATTTTTTTCTTATAAAGGATGATGAAGATGGAACAATTATTTCGGCCGTGGTTCAACAGAAAAGTATGCGAACAGCCCGATGGCAGCAATAGATACGATCTGCAATCGCAAAATATTGTTTAGATCGTAATGCAAATTATAAACTTATTTATTTTTATTTTTCACCACTTCGAATAAATCATTCTGGAATTTTTTGATGAGGTTGGAATGATGTTCCTCGACCATCTTTTCCTGCCTCATATCATGTTCTTCCTTCTTCCTGTGATGGTCTTTCTGCTCTTCGAGTCGCTCTCTGGCGATATCTGCCATCCAAGAAGTGTCGTCTTTTTTGATTACTTTAGCGGGGGCCCTTGTTGCCAGAAAATGTGCTGAAGTTACATGATCCATCCAGAACCAACTCGATAATGTCCGAAAAATCCGAAAATTATTAAAGAACAAATTATGCATACTATAAAGGATTTAGGTTAGGTTAGGTTGAGGCGGCTGCCGGGCTCGCTCGGAAACCCGTCACACTTAGGCCGGTTTCAGCCCGTTTTGATACCGCATAGGATCATTCCTTCCTGCGTTGTGAGACTTCCTGTCAGCAATTATCCCATCCAGATGCTCTCACAAAGTTCGCTATCCTCCTGGGACATAGTTTGGACATCTCGGAGATGTCGTGTAGAAAGGCTGAGCCCAGGTGCTGTAGCCTTCTTCTGCTGAGAGCTGGGCAGGAGCAGAACAGATGTTCCACTGTCTCTTCCTCTTCCTCGTCTCTACAGCTGCGACAAAAATCGTTATGTGGGGCCCCCAGCCTGTTAGCGTGGGTGCCTATTAGACAGTGTCCCGTGAGGGAACGTATAACTACGCTGCACCTTTTCCTGCCTAGCGTGCAGAGCTCGGAGGTGCGCTTCTTGTCCATGGTCGGCCATGTTTGCCGAGTTATGCGACATCGTGGCACTATTTGCTACATATCGTTTGATAGTCGCTTGTATTGCTCTTTTATAATAAGCTTACAGGTGGCCTTTGGCATACAGATATCCTCCTTGTCTTGGAGAAGGGGGATTGTAGTGCCAGATCTGGCAGGCTCGTCCGCTATACAGTTGCCCTCGATGTCCCGGTGGCCCGGGACCCAAATTAGGCTAATAGCAAATTGCTGAGCCATCTCGTGCAGAGATTTGCGGCAGTCTGCCACGGTGGCCGAGTTCGAGGAAATCGCACTTAGCGATTTGATCGCAGCCTGGCTGTCGCTTTAAATGTTTAGCTTGGTTGCCGTAACGGCAGCCGCTTGTAGGCAGTCTAGAGCCTCCCTGATTGCTATGACTTCCGCTTGAAAGACACTGCAATGATCTGGGAGCCTGAAGGAATACCTTATATTTAGCTGTTCAGAGTAGATTCCCCATCCGACTCTGTCGTCCAGCTTTGATCCATCTGGGCCTGGGAGTCCCTCGAGCCATACGTCTCTGTGAGGGATGATTGTGTCAAAGGGAGTGACTGTGTACTCTCTTGGAACTTGGTAGTCTGTTTTTGAGGGGACGGTACTTCTATTATTTAATATGGCTGAGTGACCTATGCACTGTGTCACCCATTGATCTGAGTCTCTTAGACGTGTTGCTGCCAAGTCCCTGAGCTCTCCGTTAACGACTGGGCTAGTTTTATATACCGGGCCCCCAGCCAGGCTGACTCTCAGCACGGGTCGAATAACACTCTTAGTCCGGTCCGGTGTGAGCTGAATGTGGGGGTTGGGATGTGGGTAGGTAGTGTGTAGGGGTAGGAGAGTGTGTGAGCTACTGATACGAGGCGGCACCACAAGCGCATCGTCAGTGTTGCTACTTCGCGAACACCCGCTGGCTGTCCGGGGCTGCTTATTTTCGGTACTCTCCCTAGGGATGTCCGCTTATTCGCAGCTGACCTACCTATATGACCTGTATATAGGTAGGTCGTTCGCTATCCGCAACATGCGACCCGTCCGGTGGCCTCAGCTAGACCCCCTTTGAGCCACCTCACGAGCTCATCAGACCAGAACATAAAGGATTTACAGAGCACACAAATATTTGTTCTATGTTGTCAGTCGTCATATGTTCGTCATAACTTGTATTTCGAATTGTCTTGTAATTTTTGTTACCTCTTTTCATGGACGTACCATAGAATTTGTTTTTGCTAATTTGATCAGTTAATTTTTATTTATTTATTTATTAAATTAACAAATTTGTTGTTAATAATGGTACTTAATTAAAAAAGGCGGAAAAAGAGAGAGTTAAAAGTTAGCTAAATTTAAGTGATTATAAATATTGCATGCAATTAGTTTAAGAGACAGTTCAGGGGATAGGGTTTGGCAGAGGGAGTTATAATTATGGCATAAAACCCTAAAAGGTAAACGGATAGGCCTAAAAGTACGGGTAGGTCTAGGTGGAACGGCCAAGTCCATCTGAAACAAGACAGTTTGGGAGTCAACAGTCCCAAGAAGGAGCTTGTGCGCGAACATTACGCCATTGCATATTCTGCGATGGTGCAACGACGGCAGGTCAATAAGATTTAGCATAGATCGGTAGGGTGGCAAGGTTCTACCCGAGTCCCAGTTAAAGTTCCGAAGGGCAAAAATTAAGAATTGCTTTTGCACGGATTCAAAAACAACCTGCTGCTCTTTATACTGCGGGCTCCACACACAAGAACAATACTCCAATATATGACGTACTAACGAGATGTACAGTTGTTTCGTAACGTACGGGTCGTCAAACTCCTTGGACCAACGCTAGATGAACGCTAAAACACCCTTAGCTTTATTTACAGTTGCAGCTATATGGCTGTTAAAACACATCTTATGATCAAAAAGGACTCCGAGGTCATTTGAACTCGAAATTCGCTCAAGGACATGATTTCCTAGAACATATGAGACAAAATGTGGAGCACGACGGTAAAATGTCATAAGTTTGCATTTGGAAAGGTTCAGAAAAAGAAGATTAGTTGAACACCACAATAGTAGTTCACTTAGATCAAGTTGAAGGCGTGTGTGCAAATACCAATCAGAGTAAGACAGACAGATTTTATCATCATCAGCATACATTGGTGTAGTAGAGTATGTTATAACTTGAGGAAGGTCATTCACAAATAAAATAAACAGAAGCGAGCCCAGATGACTTCCCTGTAGCCACCTGAAGTAACATTAACAGTATTTGACAACACGTTAGAAAACAAAACACGTTGAGTACGGTTAGAGAGATAGGACAAAATCAGATCTAGAAGATTCGTTGGGAACCCTAATAAAGAGAGCTTGTGAATACGCAGAGCATGGTTCACAGAATCGAATGCCTTGCTGAAGCCCGTAAAAACTACAGTCGTCTGCAAACCAATTTGAAAGATGAAAGTCTTCAGCCCTAGCCACTTGCCTGGACATTTTCGATACATCTGTTGTTAAGGCGAAGCGATGAAAACGAAATCTGACGAGAGATAATAGCAATTCCCTCTGAATAGTTGGCCCCATTAAAATGTCATTTAATGACTGCGCTGAAGTAGTCTTCGCTGACGCGTCGAACACGACTTGAAGTTTGGTTGAGATACTATCAGGCCTGGCGGAATAATATTGGCTCTTTGAGACATATGACCGAGCTCGAGGTACTTCTTCGTAAAAGCAACTTCTCTAACGATAAGAATCGGCGCTTAGCCACATCGAACGAAGATCCAAGCATATGGGGATCAGATTCATGGTTGTGTCAGGGTAAATGAACGAAATATAATGAAATAAGAAGCCCTTTGGGCTGTGCCTCCAGGGTGTGGTGTTGCTTTTATGTTTGTAAAGGTTTGTCTCTTCACACTCCCTTCCTACTTCGGAGTGGGACGCAGCGAAATGCGAACCAAGTCTCCCCTGATCGATACGCGGAAGCGTTGGCCGTCGAGATACTCCAGACTGCGGATCCGGCTCCGCCCGTGCCACGCCGCCAGAGAGCTAGCGACTTTCAGTAGGCTTTGCGGGATCGGGCGTGCTCACCTGCCAGGCAACTGGGGCA